AACGTTCCTTAGTATTTCCCATACTTGCCTGATTTACCAATTATCAATTTATTCCTATATAAGACTAAAATTTAAAATTTTATTAAGCAAGAAAATTTATAATAATTCATATATTTTTTTCTCGAAAACGGCGCGCCGCGGCGATTTTATCAAGAAATTAGCTAGGGACATTTCAGTCTTAAAATTTTAGGCAAAATATCATTTAATTTTTTTTATTCAAATTTCGTTTATCATGAAGAGTTGGCTGCCATATTAGATCCAGCATTTTGAATTTCTTGACATCTGATATTGGATTTATCAAAAGCAACCTCCTTTCACCAAGGTATTTTACAAGTCTGTTTGATATACCAATTCTGGATTTCTCGCTATATGAGACCGAAATCGAGAATTTCAACATGATAAAAAAATTTTTTTCAATTCATGAATTTTTTCTTCTCGTTTCTCGACAACGGCAAGTTTTTCATACTTCTGCATACGGTAAGTCTGCATGTGATGGCGTTAGAGCTATCTTAAAAAAAGAATCATCTCGGGCTAGCCTTTCAGTTGGGATTATACTCATGACATACACAAAAAAAATGATTATATCTGTTTTTCTCCCGTATTAAGGTCCTCATTCGCCATCCATTCTGCCCATCGATATAGAAGACAGGACAGGTCGGAAAAAAAATAAAATCATCGAATAATAATTTTAAATTATATACATCAGTTTTACTACGTCAATTTCCTCATAAGACGCGTTGATATTCCTTCTAATTTAACATCTCACGTTCTTCAAAATTAAAAAAAGTCCGCTCTATGGACTCAATGTAAATTCCTGAACCCAACTTTCGGTACAATCCGGCACTATTAACATAAAATATCTGAAAAAAGGGGGGATAAAAAGTTGGATTTATGATACGAAAAAAAATTTTTTTATCCATCGATTTATTTTTTAAATAAACTTTATCAAACCTTCTAAAATTAAATCTGATGGAAGTAACTCCAAAATTTATTAGAACCCTTGTCTCCATAAAAAGGTTGTTTGACAACCGATTTAGACGTCTTTCTTCCCTGTAAAACTTCCCCACCAATCTGAAAAAATACACACACACTCACACATACATACATATATATATATAAAATACGCTCNTTCTTCTTACCAGAAGACTCAGAGACAAAAAAAAATATCAATCATCAATTAAATATAACACTTTAGTGACTAGCTTACGAAAATACAGACGTAATGAAAACTTCCCTTCGTTCTATCCAAGTAAAAAAAATAAAGTAGCCGAAACATTCATTATTCATACTATAACAAAAAAAGAAAGAAAAGACATTTTTTACTCACACCTGTAGTAAATGTATAATATTAATACTACATTCAATTTCCAGAAGTACTTTGAATGTTTAATCCAATGCCAAAAAAGTCTACAAGGAAATCAGTAATGAAAAACTCAATCATATTGCCCCTCTGCTGTTTCTTTATCTTCTCTTTGGTAGTGCATGAGCCACAATCCTACAATATTAGCAAAAGTTATCACCGCTATATTCACTGCATGTAACAAAAATGGATTGTGTGGTACTACCATTGAATTATCAACTAAAATTTTTTTATTACTATTTGTGATTCTACATATGTAATCATCACATCTATTGTCACTATTTTTGTAATTTGAGTATCCATTTTTTTTAAAAAAAAGGTATGATTAGTTAATTTTTTCGGAAACTTTTTTGTACAAATTTTCTCATGACTAGTAAGACATGGACTATCTTTACCATAAGGTCCATAAAGCATGTAATTCATAACTTATCTTTGTATTTGTGAATCAAGTGGAATTTCCACTGAAATATATTTATCTGTCTATAGTAGTAAATAATTTATTGCATAGATGCAATGATACAATAATGTAAAAATGAGATAATTTTTTTTTTTTTTAATTCAATGGTAAACAAAAGCAATGACTTTACCAAAAATATTGTGTTTAGTTATATGGTCTAAAATTAATTTCAATTTTGTATGAAATAAGCCAACAGTTACATTCGGTATATCGTTCGGAACGGTACCTTTAAAATAGTTTTTTTGAATTTGCTTTACTTATTTTCATTTGGGTTTAAATGGTACGGTAATGAAAAAATCAGGTCGTCTAAACTTTCGCATTATTGCCATTGCATCTTGCTAATATTTCTGCATATACATAGTACTACCAATGTATGTTGAAGGTAAAATAAACATATTTCCAACATTTTTGTGTTCAAAATTTTGACAGGTATTAGAGGCACTACGCATTATGTGATTTATTAAACTTCGATAACATTCAATTCTTAGAATTTTTTGGTCATTGCGAAAGAGATTTTTCAATTGCTTTCAATCATAATACATGCATGGAAAAAAAATTGTTGCGCTAATCTTCCAGCATAGAGTATGGGACTAAAAATTTTTCTATTTGGTTGATAAAGAGTTCGATATAAGTAATATTGAAGCAACGTAAGATTTTCTGCTCTTGTTAAATATTGTTGTCCATCGTACGTACTCCATCCTACATCTCTGACTGGAAATAATAAAGGAAATACCATTTAATCGACATGCTGTATTTGACATACAGCATCGATAATGCAACCTATCAAGGTGTTATAAATCAGATAATATTCATATAAATTTTCCCGTAGGAATGTTAAACAATAGTCGTGTAGGCTTGCCATCTCATCAACTTAAATTTAAAATAGGTACAAGTAGCGTTAATTCGAAATTTTTGTACATCAGACAGCTTATATAATGGTGCAAGATTACGAATTACTAAATTGTTGAAGTATGAAGTAGAAAGCAAAATAGTCATGAGAGAAAAAATTAGTAATCAAGTTTTTATTCCAAAAATTACATTAAATACCAAAAACCCTGATCATTACCTTTCATTTTATACAGAAAACAATTCCCATTAGTTGTAGCATTTCCTATAACTATAAACAAGTCTCAAGGTCAAAGTTTAGATAATGTGGGATTATTTTTGAAAAAACCTTTATTTCCTCATGGTCCATTGTACGTGGCTTTATCGAGAAGCAAAAATTAAAATGGAATTTTTGTTTAAATCGATAGAGAAAAGATTTTAGATGTTAAAAATATGGTTTGAAAAAAATTTTTGAATATAAGTTGTAATGTATCTTATAATAACAACATGATTTGAATATTATTATATGTATGAACGCAATTTGTTACTTAATAATACATCCCATGAATGTATATTGTATTCATGTATTGTACCAATTTCAACAATAATTAAAAACAGAATAGGAATAGACTTAAGTCTTCGTAATTTAATGGAGCTTTATAAGTTGACTCATAAAATAAGTCATCTTAATGCGAAACTTCCACGGTTCGTTTTAATGATAAAATGGTACATTACGTCACTAGGGCACAAAGTACAAACAGAAGCGCCCGAAGCGCGCGATTGTTGCATGTTGGTGCTCGAGTCGCGTATAATGTTTTTCTTACCGTGGGCGCAAAGTACAATTTTGTGCCCATGGGCACACTTTGTACCCGGTAAATCACTTTGGGCTCTAGGGCAGGAAAGTACTTTGGGCCCGGAGGGCACAAAAAACTTTTTTGCCCGTGGGCCTAAAGTGATTCTAAGGGCGCAAAGCGGCAGTTGCGCTTTGGGCCTATGGTAAAAAAATGAAAAAAATTTATATTTATGTATGTATGAATTAGTTTTATTAACACGTATACAAAATAATATTATACATACACATAACAATTAACATTTCACACACAGTTTATCAAAAATGCTAACAAAAAAAAAGCTTAGCGTACCAAGAACTTTATACTAACAAATAAATTAAAGTACAATTGATATGAATTGGTTTCTTACCGTACTCTCAGTTGTATAAATGGAATGGTTAATAATTATTCGTATGTATAAGGTCTATCTATTTGCCTCTTGAGCGATGTGAAGAAATAGACGAAAAAAAAGTTTGTTGTAAAAAAAATATGTTCTTATTAGTTAACATTCTTGACAAATGAACATTTTTACACTACAAAAATATATATCACATATTATTTTTATGATGTATTCAATTATATTTTTATTGAAAGACTTTGAGTAAGATATGAATGAATAAATAATCTTTTAACTACTATTATAAATGGTTAACACATGAGAAATCCATATGTAATTTTCATGTGGTTTTTCTATATGGAAAATGTACATGGTTTTTTTCAAGAGAGATTACTAAAAGAATACCAGAAGAATACTTTGTTTACTTTAATAAGAATTTTTTTAGTCTGATTTTTGAATTATATAAGAATTTAAAAGGATTCTTATATTAGGAACATTCGCATATTCTTAAAGAATT